AAAAACAAAGTAGCCTACATAATAATCAAAACGCTCTCATCATGAGCAGAATTTTACATTTTGGGTTGTATTTTAATTTCAAATTTTAAATTGTCTACAAATGCTTATTATAATTATTACATTGTTTATTATGAAATGTTCCTAGCATGCGTATTAATAATATTAGATGTGAATGAAAAACCCGTTCTTGTCACAAACCGGTTTATGTGAACGGTCTGAGTCATATATGTATGACAGATCAAAATAATTGCATTTGCTGCATTCTGGTTTTTAGCTAAAGTATGAGTGTGTTTTTGGTGTTGTGGAAATAAGCTTGTCCTCTGCAGCTCTTCTTCAGTTCTTCAGCTGGAGAGATGCGTTTGGCTCAGATATACAGTACTGTAGGGTACAACGGGGCTAAAGGCGCACAGCACTGATACAAATACATTAGATAAAATATTGTTTTTAATGTGTCTTGAACAATTTAACAGGCTACTTGCTCGAAACAATCACTTTAGCAACGCTTGTACTATTTTCTGCTTATTTTGATAAATAGAGGAATTCATTTTTGTTCATTAAATATACTGTCATTAAAATATGTTAATATAAAAATATATTTTAAAAACACATAAAATTATTTTAAAAAGTAAAGATTCTGAAAGCATTGAAGGAGATCCCATAATAATAGATTTAGCCTACAGTGCTTACAACAAATTATATTTTATCATATGATAGGGCTGGATTGGTAATCGGGCATACCGGGCATTTTCCCGGTGGGCTGACGCACTTAAGGGGCCGACAGAAGTTTTTTTTTTTTTTTTGCCGATGACCATCACGCACGGACAGCGAGCAGCCAGTGGCCCATTGGTTTGTCTCCTGTATTGACAGCGTAAACATCCAATCACAATGCGCTATAGACGGAGCGATGAAGTATTTTGCTCCGCCGATATAAAGATCGCTTGCCTTCACACCAACTTCTTCCTCGTCGGCTTTTCCCACATTTCCCACGTTTTCACAGCAGCTTTATCAAGAACAGGCTTGCTCTGCGGTGAGTGATGCGGGCCAAAGAGCAAGGCAGGAGGAGAAGAGGAGAGTAGTTGCTATTGCAGCTGCTATTCAAATCTGCGTTCGTGCTTTGGCTGGCACGGAGCCAGAGACAGAAGTGTTTGTACAGCGCTGCATTATAACCAATCACACACGAGTCTGTTGAGCTTATGAATGCAATGGCCAATCAGAGACGTTCAGATGAGTCATCGCTGAAACGCGGTGTTTTGTTCACTCGCTCGCTGACTGTGCAGATGTGCCTATGAATGTAAGTAAGATATTCATTTCACAGTGCAAACAGCTTCAGTTATTTAAATGGGAGTTTTTGAGAGTGCCTGAACTCTGGCTAGACTGAAGTGAAAATGTTCTTTGCTCTCTGTAAAATGAAAATGTTATAGCCTAATATAGTAACTTACAATATTGTTATTAAATTCACATTAAATACAAAGTCAGTCGTGTTAAAAATATTTTATGGCATGATATATCTGGTAGGCCTATTTAAGTAAAAAGTCGGGTTTTTATGTGTAGTTAATAGATTACACCATTAGTCTACTTTGCCCATCACCATTGATCAAATAACATAATCTATAAAGGTGCAAAACGCATTTACTTACACATATTTGAGAATCGAGA